GAGCTGTATTGCCTACAGATCTCAGAGATTGTGCCGATAATTTATAGGAAATGTATGGTTCTGTCCTAAATATTTTAATCTTTGTGTGCCAAGTTACAGGCGTTCACAGAAGACAATCTGTTAGTGTCACACCTTCTCAGTTATAAGTCTGCAAAACAAATCTGAGTGTTTCTTCCTCAGGCTCTGGTGCCATGGGAAATTGCCGCAGAAGTTTGTCACGAACGAGTACTTTGGTCTCCTTTCACTTCTCAGAATCTGCTCTGGTAGGTTAGGAAAGGAGTAATGAAAGTGGGGTGGATCATAACTGAATAGGTTGCATATGTTTTTATTCAGGTCTATAAGAACAAAGTAAAATCCAAAGCTGTTAGTGTTTCTGTCACGAACTGGGAAAACAAAATTCAACTGATATTAGAATATCGAATTCCCTCTTCAAAACTGGTTTCTTAGTAGTGCCATTCCCGCTTACAGTTAAGTGAATATGGCTGTTTCAGACTATGCCTATGGCCGATTCACAGCAAGGCTGAGGGTCCCCTCTGCCCCCTGGGATTCTCCCCGCTTTTCTCAGCCTGCTTGGAAACCCTCAGACACTTGGGAACAGGGAGACAGACCCAGAATTTCTGTTTGTCCCCTGCCTTGCTGCCATGCCACAAATATTAGTAGGATTATCTGAAGACTTAAGGAAACAAACTTTTTATTCCAAAGCTTTCATTTTATTGATGTTGATGATGGTTGCTTAAAGTATAAATTGGGATTTGACTTTTGGGAGGGGACAAAAAGAAATTGCTTGTTGCTAGGACTTGTAGCAGTCACGTCACATAAATTGGCAGATCTTTGTATTTAAGGGATTTTACAGTCTAATTAAATGCAGTAGTAGTCTTTTGCCTTTTGAAATTAAACCTTTTTTTTCTTTTGCTACATACTTAGGGAACAAACATGCTGTCAAAATCCTTACTGTATCCAACTACTTGAACATAAGAAACAGCATCAAGCTGTTATTTGTTCTGTTGGAGTGTACTCATATTTCCAATCTGAATCTTTTGTACCTGGTGATCTTAATTATATTTGAGCTGGAAGTAGTTTAACATTAAAAGGAATTACAGCAGATTAATCTGTAAACCTGCACAAATATCACATTCCTTTGTATGGAGGTAAGCAGGGCATAGTGTGCATAATTACGTGTCGTTCTCTGTGTAGGTTTTGTGCACAAGGCTGAGGAGTCAATGTTGCAGTTCCTCGTGACAGCATAAATTATGGCACATCTTGCAGTGGTCAGCTACATTAGAAAACATACATTATTCCTCTCAGTAAGGTAATCTTCCTTATAAAAAGAACAGGGAAGCCAAAAAATAAAAAAACCCCACACCTTGCCCTGGAAACAGGAATTAGTATACTAATTGGTGTATGCAAATACAGAGAAATCTTTTAAAGAGTGTTTGCTATAATTTTTGTTTTTCTAAAGCGATATAGCTTGAGGTCAACCCAAGAAGGCCATTTATCTCAACCATCCAAAACCACATAAAGGTATTGTTTTTACACTTTTTGCAACTGGAGAGACAAAAGAAAATCACTAAAAATGAATTGGAGAGGTCTTTTTCTCCAGTCCTGATGCAGAAACATCATTGGAATCCAGTTGCACCAGTTTAGCCTCAGTTAGAGCAGCAGGAGAGCAGAGCCTCAGCAAATAAGAATCGTAGTTCGTACTGATAAATATATCTTTTGATTCAAAGTATTGGTGAAGTGTAGCTGTCTGATTAAGTCCTTTTGATTTGCTTGAGTTTTCAAGGCTGGTCAGATGGCACTACTGAGCCCATTTGGGAACAGTTTGCTAGATGACAGGTAGAAAAAAGAAATTTCAGGAGAAATATAGGAGAAGAACAAGCCATTCGCATGCAGTCTGAGTTGCAGAAGATGTGTCTCTTGGACTACACCAGCTACCTGCTGGGCAGCTTCCATATAAATTTCCAGATGGCAATAAATTTCCCAGTTAGTTTGATGTTCACGCAGCCATTCATCTTGCATAAGCTGCTACCTCATTGCAATGGCTCTGGAAAAACTGTCATAAATTTTGAATTTAGCATATGTAGGTCTACCAGTAATGAAACTTCTGGCAAGTCTCAAGAATTACCTGCATTTCATGAGACTAACGCAGGTGTTGCCTATGGGACTGGCTGACGTGTTCTGACAGTTCTGGTTTTATTGGTGTCCCGTTGCCTCGTGTCCTTTGAATTTGGAGCATCCTCTCTAGTGGTGCTTCTTGAATCTCTCTAGTGAATGCTGATGGTCACCACAAGTGATCACAAGGCACCTAAACAGAAACTTCCTTCTTGAAATTGTACCATAAATAAAACACAGGTTAGTGACTAGTCACTGTAAGAGAATTCTGTGGATTTAAAGAGAAGAAAAAAAAAAAGGCAGGACAAACAAAATTCTGGTTACTTTCAAAGACGAAGCCTTCTACTGCCCTACTGTTAGTCACCAGCTGGATACTGAACCCCCTTTCAGTGCTGCAGGTGTTGTCACTGTGTGACATTCTCATGCCCTTTAAAATTTCTTTTGTAAAACTGACTTCTGGAGGGACATTTTATTTGATAGTTGCTGGTTTTGAAAGAATCTCTGGTTTTAACTTAATGATGATCTGTTAGCCATGAGGAAGAGGGAAATAAGAGACTATTCTATTCAGACTAAGAAAAAAATGGTTTTTCATGTGTTTTCACTGGGGTTTTTTTGTAGCTTTTCTCCTAAAACGAAAGCACAGTACTCACCAGGACCTTGCAGGCTTCCCCATATAATGGTGCCAATGTATTTCCACCCTAATTTGCAGCATCCCTGTTATTACAGACCTTGGCCTCTTCTGAGCACAACTGCTGACTACGCCAAATTCACATAGTTGTTCTGTGATGAGGACAAGGATCATCTAGCGAATAAATGGAGAACACAGTATTCAATTTGCTGGTGACCTTGAATTTGATCTCTCTTCTATCCTTAACAGCCTAGTCAATCTCTGTCCTGTTTAACCCATGTCATCATTACTGGTATATCACATAGACACTTCTGCAACTGCCTTTTCCTTGATACTACAGTCGTTAAATCACCAAAAGAAAGAACCAAGAGCGAATGAGGAAAGAAGTACCATAAATTCTTCTTCACCTTTTCCTTAGCAGTGTCAGGAATGGCCACAAAGGTCTTTCCCAGTCTTTCTGTTCATTTTTTATATTTGTCTGAGGTAGAAACCACAAGTTTGATTGATAATGCAATTTGCATCTCGAGGCATCACTGGAAATACAATGGCATGAAAGGCTACTCTGGCGGAGCGCACTTTTCCCCCTGGGCTGACTTTAGAAACTCATTGATGTCACTTCCTTCCTCAGTCAGCAAGTGAATTTTCACTAATTCTCAAGACCAGCTGTCCACGCTGTCAACAGAAAGTTATTAAAATTCCTTTAAAGTGAATCAAAATAGCCTAAAAACAAATGTACTGGGAAACAGGAAAGCATCAGTATTCAAAGTCCACAAACCTTTGAGCAAAACAATGTTGATCTAACCAGAGATTTCAAACACTCTGCTTTCCTAGCAACTTGTATATCATTAGAGAATGCTAAAAACACATGCTCCTTTAATCTTCCATTACCAACAATCTATTTGGTTAAAATATTAGTTACAAGAATAAATTCTGTTTCTCCCAAAGATTAACTCTGTGAACAAGGGAATACATTTTAAGAAGTTCCCCCTACATGATAGTTGGGGTGGGGTTTTTTTTTAGCCAAAATGCATCATTTTTATATTTCCAAATAAAAACACAACACAAGCATGCAGGAAATAATTATCATGAGAGACAATCTTCTAATATAGCCTAAAGTGATTATCTTTATCTGAATTATCTATAATGCTTTCCTTGAACAAGAGTATTCTCAGGGACAAGTAGGTAAAATCCTTTAGTTAACAGAGTCTTTTAACTGTATTTTAACACTTAAAATTTTCACCTAGTTTAAAAAAATCTATCTTGTGCCACACATATCAGTATGAAAAAATTCTGTTGAAATGGAGTATCATTTCCAGTGCTGGAGGTGGCAGCCACCCATGCTGGGCAGGCTACACTGACAGTTAATAGTGATACTGACAGGCTGTAAACAGTCTCCTATTATTACTACTTTTAAAAAAAACCCTCTGGGTTCATGCAGCCTAGCTGGATAGGTAAGTGTGAAATTCATGACTTTCCCCAATACATGTCGATGGTCTCCAGTAGCAAAGGGAGGGTAATTGATACCAGCTGCCCTTTTGACAACTAGTGCACGGAAAGAGTAAATGAGGCAAAATTACTGTGCCTTTTGTCTAAAAGGAAAGAATAAGTTTGAGGTGTCATTGCTGCTAGTGTCCCAGATGGCTGCAGAAAAGCAATGTTCTGTCTAGGCTTTGATCGTATCTTCAGGAGCATGCTGAAGGACACTGCAGAAGGCGGCCGGAATAAGGAAGCAAGACCATAATTCAACTTGCCGCTTCATGGATATTATCAGGATAGAATTTCTTCTTTGAGCCAGCTGGTGCCTAACCTCAGTCTTGACACAGGCACGTAATTTTATTTTCGGGTAATGGCAGAAGCTGCTTTTCTCCTCCAATGGTGAAATCCTGAGCTGGATGCTACCAGTCTCTCAGGCATGTATACATGCAGCACTACATCTCACAACATTAAGATGCTTCATAGCACATATTTGAAACTTCTTGTCTTCACTTTAAATGTTGCAATTTCTTCTGGGGTTCCAAGTTAGCAAGATTGGCTACCTATCTCAATATTTTTATTACATCTTGATTAAGAGGGGCTTGTGTTTCTTTTACTTTAGGTGGATTTCCATTTTGAAGTTTTAAGTCATTCATACATGTTAAATACTTTCTCTTAATTATAAGGTTTGATTATTTTTTTGCTGAATTCACTGGTTTTTGTTCTGTATGTACACGATCATATTCATTAAACTATGTACAAACTAATTATTTTCTTTCTCTTTCAGAGTCTGGAGAAAAATTGCAACAACAGATAATTAATCAGGTATTTTGACACTTTCATACATTTTGTTACTTAATTTTTCATGTAGAAGAATTCTAGCAATTAAAGGGGGAGAACTTCACAGGACAGGCTAATATTAACTACACAGGTGTGCTAAGGACCAAAATATCAGACAACTGCCTGTCTCTGCAAATGTGTCAAATTCACAAGAGTAGCCATCATTTTGATTTAAACCTAAGATTTGCCATTTAAGCAATTTAGTTCATATACTTCTTAATGTGTTGGTGGTGAGACCAAAGCTTAAAGGTAATTTGTTCATTTGTATCAAATTTTTTAGCACAGAATTACACTCTTTTTTTTTTTAAGGAAAAGGTAAGATTTCTCCTGGCTGCTAGTATTCCTTTTAAAAAAACAAAGCTATTGATATGAAACATGTACACACACTTGTAAGTGTTGTCTTTCAAGGTTGTTTAGGTTTGCATTTCTGCCATAAATTTTCAATGTCACTAAACTGTGACGTTGCTTGTGGAGTTGTTTTCTGTCTTGTCTTTAGTGTATCAGTTAGGAGTAATTATTTAGAAGATAAAAACCTTTGTATATTGCAATTTAGCATTTCAGCATCAGGACAAGGATATAGGAACTATACTGGGAAAAAAAAAAAAAATCCCCTAATTAGAAAGAGAGGAGGAAACCCAGAGTTTACTTTCCTAAATTACATGCTCTTCCGGATTGAAAGGACCTAACCTGTACAGAAGCATCATGCTGCTTCTCATTCTTGGCTTCTTGTCCTCTTACTGAATGCTGTTGTCCAAATGGCATATAAAGGGGTACTGGATTGTTTGTGGGATTTATTTTGAAAAGTCACTTAAAAAGCAGTCATCAAAATATTTGTATTCCAACAATTGCCCTCCCTTCAGTAGTCTTCCATCCAATCTACAAATTGAGGCATTGGCATCATTATGACACTGTTATCTGTGAACTGATCATCTAGATGGAGGACTGACCACCTGAGGCAGCCTGGTTTGGGGCTAACAGCATTTCCCTGTCATGGCAGAGCACGGGACGGGTGTCACTGTGTCGCTTTCGGTGGCCTCAGCTGGCACCGATCCTCACCAAGTAAGCCCTTGCAGGTCTGGAAGCTTGGTCCTGTGACACCAAATTATATCGAGAGTTGTTACAACCTTCCCATTATATTGAGAAATTGATGGGTGAACGCATTTAGCCCAAAATATGGCATCACATAAGCGATACTTTTTCTAAGTAAGTGTAGAAATCTTTTGAAACTTAATGGAAGTTCTTTGCTTTGAGAGTTTGTATCCTAAAACAAAGCTCATTAACTTTTATAAACTAAACTGCATTTTAAATTCAGGCACTAGCCTGAAATGTCTTGCAAAACCACTTTTGGGAGTCCTTATTTGCCAGAAGGGGGGGCAGTTGTATTTTTAAAGCACGACTTGAGGCTACATTGACAGGGCTGTGAATGACAGGAGACCTAATTCTGCACACTTTCTGTGTGACAAAATCAGCTCTGTGGATGACATTGCCCTTTTCTGAGGAAGAGTGTATTGTGATAAAAAGGACACTCGTCACAGTTGCAAAAGGTGGATTAGGTGCCATACTTTGCGTATCCAGTCTTAGTCTTTTCCTGTATGCCACTGCCTTGCCCTCCTCGCATTGCTCACCTGTTCTGTCTCTCTACAGTTAACTTAAGAATATCTGATTTTGCAGTAAAATTGCATTGTCTTGATATGTGGAGGGTGTATCTAAACAAAGCTGTAAAAAATTGATTTGGGGACAAATGGCAGACACGCATTTTTAAATGGATACTAGTGAAACTGGTAATGCCCCTTTCCATACAAACTTCCTTTGGACTTCCAAGAAATGGAATAATGTTTCAAATTAGAAATCAGTTTCATTTTCAAATCTATAATTTAGGACAGAATTTCAGAGGCACTGCACATTTGATTTGTAGTAAAATTACTTCAATAAATAGATTTGTACTGGGTTGATCCAAATGGAGTATCTCCCATAGAAGGATTCTGTTTATTTTCAGTACTGAACTTGAAATTTTATATGCAGGATAAGATACTTATCTGGCTTAAGAACCTGCAGTCCCCTTTAAGTGAGTGCAACAACACTGAGTTAAACTGGCTGCCAGAAATTTAAGTGCGGGAGAAGTAGCTCTGCAGAAGATGAATGATGTTACAACTTGACAGGAGCAGGAGTGCAAAGGGGTAAAGAGCAGGAAATGTCTTGTTGAGAGGTGAGTGAAACTGAGAGGGGATGGGGAAACGATAAAGTTGCTGTCCTAGTGGTCTTCTGCTAGGTAAACCCCTCACTGTCGGTGGGTATCTAGGACCTCTCACATCTTTGAAGACCACTGTTGTTTCTGTGTGGTTCTTAGCTCTTTCTAAAGCCTAAGCAAAGTTTGGTTAAATATGACATAGATAAAACACCAAGGTAGTATCTGCTTCCAGAAACCTTTGACTAGGCTCTTCACTGGCTCTTGTTCCCTTCGATCATAAGGCATCACTGGTTTTCCTTGAGCACCTTTTTTGTCATTTACGTATATAGGTATGCATGTTTGTTTAACTGCAGTGATTATTTACCACTCTGAGCAGAGACATTCAGCAATGGTATGCACTCTGCTTTTCAATACCTGTTTTTAACTACCTTTGCAACTTCAGGGTAAATCCTGGCACCAATGTACAGCCTGATTAGCTGTAGTGTGTTAACTACTGCGAAGGGAAATGCAAGGAAACAAGAACAAACCTTGTGCTTCTAACTGTGTAACAGTCTTGGCTAAAAAAACGCATTACAGACCGCCAATCAAAACGTGTCTGAAGGCAATCCTTTATGTTTCATCCTTACCACTCAGATTTGTCTGTGTTGTGGTCTTAATGTATACTCCTACGTGTGGTTTTGCCCAGTGCCTCTCGGAGACATGGAAATGCTCTGCTTAAAGCAGCCCAGGAGGCTGTTGGCCTTTTTTGCCATGAGGGCACCTTGCTGGCTCACACTCAGCTTGTTCTCCAGGACCCTCAGGTCCTTTCCTACTTACAAAGCTGCTTTCCAGCTGCCCAGCCCCCAGCCTGTACTGGTGCCTGAGGTTGTTCTGCCCCAGGTACAGGACATTGCATTCCCCTCTGTCAAATTTTATGAAGTTCCAGTTTACCCATTTCTCAAGTCCATTGCGGTCCCTCTGAATGGCAGCATAACCCTCTGGTGTGTCAGCCACTCCTTCCAGTTTTGTATTGTCTGCAAACTTGGTGAGGGTACACTCTGTCCCATCATCTAGGTCAGTAACAAAGAAGTGAGACAGCTTTGGACCCACCATTGACCCTGGGGCACTAGTGATTGGCCTGCAGGTGGCTTTTGTGCACAACCATTTGAGCCTAAGCAGTTCAGCCAGTTTTCAGTCCAACTCACTGAATGCTTTCTAGCCTGTACTTCATGAGGATGTTATGGGAACCAGTGCCAAAATCCTTACTAAGTTTGAGATAAACGACATCCAGTACTCTCCCCTCGCCCACTAAGCCTGTCATCTCATTGTACAGGGCTATCAGACTGGTCAGGCATGATTTCCCCTTCAGATAGCTATGCAGCACGAAGTCCAGCTGGAGGCCAGTCACCAGTGGAGTACCCCAGAGGTCACAGCTAAATAAAATACTGTTTAACTGCTTCATTACATACCAGGGTGATGGGACGGAGTGTACCCTCAGCAAGTTGTCAGAGGATACAAAACTGGGAGGAGTAGTTGAGACACCAGATGGGTGTGCCACTGTTCAGAAGGGACCTCAACAGGGTGGAGAAATGGACAAACGGGAACCTCATGAAGTTTGGCAAAGTGAAATGCACCTGGGGAGGAATAATCCCCTGCTCCATTATGCTCCCAGGAACTGAGGTCGAGCTGACCAGGCTGTAGTTTCCTTGATGCTCCTACTAGCCCACCTTGAAGATAGGAGTGACATTTGCTTTCATCCAGTCCTCAGGAACTTCCCCCATCACTACGACCTTTCAGAGATAATCAAGAATAGATTCACAGTGACATTCTCCAGCTCCCTCAGCACTCATGGGTGCATCCCATCAGGTCCTATGGACTTGTTTATGTCCAGTTTGTTTAAATATTCCCTCACCTGATCCTCTTCCACCAGGGGAAGTCTTCCTTGCTCCAGACTTTCCTATAGGTCTCAGGGGCATGGGGTTGTTGAATGCCAGTCTTACTAGTAAAGACCAAAGCAATGAAGGCATCAAGATACTCAGCCTTTTCCATGTCATCTGTCACCCAGTCCCTAACCAATTCAGCAGTGGGCCCACATTTTCCCTAGTCTTCCTTTTGCTGTAGAAGCCTTTTTTGTTGTCTTTCACATCCCTCCCATGCAGGTTTTGGCTTTCCTAACCTCATTCCTGCATGATCAGACAGTGTCTCTATATCACCCCAAGTGACCTGTCACAGCTTCCACCTCTTGTATGCTTCCTTTTTACAAAGTTATCTTTTTTTCAGAAGCTCCTTTTTCACACATGCAGACCCCTGCCACCTTTTCTTGATTTCTTCCTCATGGAGATGAACCATTCTTGAGTTTGGAGGAGGAGATCCTTGAACTTCACCTAGATGTCCTGGACCTCTCTCCTCTCTAGGGCTATATGCCATGAATTTCCTCTAAGCAGGTACCTGAACACCCCAAAAGTCTGCTCTCCTGAAGCCCAGGGTTGTGACCCTGCTTTTTGCCTTGTTCCCTCTTTTCAGTATTCTGAACTCTGCCTTCTCATGCAACTGCCATCACCCTGACCTTTGTATCTCTGACTAGTCCTTCCATGTTTGTAGGTGTGAGGTCCAGCAGGCAACCTCTCATTGTTAGCTCTTGAATCACTTTCATTAGGAATTTTTCATCAATGCACTCACCAAACCTGGATTGCTTATGCCCTGCTCTGCTGCTCCTCCAGCAGATATTGGGGTGGTTAAATATCCTTGTGAAGACCAGAGTCTGACCTTTGTATCTCTGACTAGTCCTTCCATGTTTGTAGTTGTGAGGTCCAGCAGG